GTCAAATCTTCTAGAAAAAACGTGGACATTTCTAAGTTTCAAAGGTTTTCTTCAGAAATTTGTCAAAATTTTGTATATTTTTCTGCACCTTTTTGACATTTTTCCTCATTAAAAAGACTTTTCCTAGAAATTTATGGTAAAATTGTATCGTTATTTTTGCTAATATCATGATTATTTTGTTGTAATTAAACTTTCTTGAATCCTGGCCCTGATACTCCATCATACAACTCACCGAGGGGTTGATTGAAATAAAAGCCAAGTTTTGAAAATATTTTCAGTTATTTGTAATTTCTTTTTTAGCTGATTAAAATCAGAGCTCAGATCATGAAACAAGTCGGAGATTTTATTTTTAAGCCACATCGCTCTAACTGTAAGCAGACCTGAATGCGATGGGACACGGCTCCTTGCTGATTTTTCAGCACCATGGAGAGCGATCAGCAGCCGGAGAAAATATTTCATTTACTCCGACGTTTCAGAGTAAACGCTTCCAAGAAGCAACAACGGCCCACACGCTGCCTCACATATATTCCCTAATTTGCACTCGCTGCTGGCAGCTGATCAGGCTGTAAGTCCTGCCGTCGGCAGCACCGCGGCACCCGGGAGAGCCTGACTTCAGGAGGGCAGAAAAGCCCTTTGGAAAAACAATTCACAAGTTTGTCATATTTCAAATCATCACAAGTTTATTTGTGTAGCACATTTCAGCAACAAGGCATCAAAAACACAAAAAGTCATAAAAGACACAGTGAACCAGTAAACATTATATTTTGTCAAGCAGTTTCATCATTACACATCTAATATGTTGATTAATGTTTCATTTATAATGTTTCAAAAGCAGCTCTAAACAGGTGGGTTTTAGCCTTTATTTAAAGGATCTCAGTGTTTCAGCTGTTTTACAGTTTTCTGGAAGTTTGTTCCAGATTTGTGGTGCATAGAGTTGAATGCTGCTTCTTCATGTTTGGTTCTGGTTCTGGATGCAGAGCAGAACCAGAAGACCTGAGGGATCTGGAAGCTTATGACAACAGCAGATCTGTAATGTATTGTGGTGCTAAACTTTTCAGTGATTTATAAACTAACGACAGTATTTTAAAGTCTGTTCTCTGAGCTACATGGAGCCGGTGTAGGGACTTCAGAACCAGGTGATGTTCTCATCCTCCTGGTTTTAGTCAGAACTCCAGCAGCAGCGTTCTGGATCAGCTGCAGCTGGAGGACTGATTTTGTAGGCAGGTCTGTGAAGACACTGTTGCTGTAGTCAGTGGGACTAAAGATGAATGAATTTTTCTAGAAAATGTTTGACTCTTGAAACGTGGAAATATCTAAGTTGTTGCAGAAAGTGTTTGAGATTAATCACAACATTTCTCAGGTATTTTTGTGTTTTCAAACTCAGAAATTTCCAATTTGTTTTAGAAAATTTCTGATATGATCAAAAATGTCAAGCTTTTTTCTAAAGACTTTTCAAATTTTGAAACTGAAATTTTCATGTTTTTTTTTTGTTGTTTTGGCGTAAATTTTCTACTACTGAAACTCAGAACTTACCAAAAAATAATTCTACAAATGTTCTGAGACTAACCTTGAAACTTTTTGGCAGAAATTTACTCCTCCTTTTTTCCCCCTGTGTAACACACCATCATAATAAAACCCCTAATAGTCAGATATTAGGATCAGATGTGGTCTTTTTCTTGATTTTAGTGTTTTTATTTTAACAAATGACTGTCTCCTAATATCCAGGACTCTGCTTAGCTCCCTGTCTGGTTTCCTGCTGCACAGTCAGCGCTCTCCTCCTCCTCCTCTTCCTGATTCTTCTTCTTCTTCTCCTCTTCCTCCTGGCTCTGCTCCAGCAGTAAAGCATCCATTTGATAAAATCTCATTAAGCTGTTGCTCACGTATGTGTGTGCGTTCTTTGATCCATCTCTCATATGGCCGTACATCTGTGTGCTGACATGATTACAAAGGGCTGGCCAGATGTGTTGCCCATCTGTCTCTGACACAGGCCCTGTGTGAGTGTGTGTGTGTTAGTGTGTGTGTGCAGGTATGGGGGCAGATCTTTCCGATGACAGGGGCAGGTTTGAAGTTGGCACTGCTTGGCGCGTGGATCAGTGTGTGTGAGTTTGGCTCCATTCACCACTTCCTGCTTTCCCTAACCCTCGAGCCCAGCAGGAAGCCGTTTGTTTGCGATGCAGACGCAGGACGTGGAAGCAGTCCTTATATGGGCATGTAGTCGTGCGTTTGCTCCTGAATGAATCAGAGTGCTGTTACATCAGAGGGGTCGGGCTGGCAGGCGGGATGGATCGCTTGCTCTCTGATTGGAACACACACTTCTGCTGGAGAGTGTGTGAGAGAGGAAAGCTGGAAACACACACCCACACACACACACACCCACACACACTGATGGCCTACTTTCCAGCAACTCGGAGATGCAGGGATTGTTCTGCAGCAGGAATGGTATGAATGAAGGGAGTGTGACGACAAGAACTTCTAAACTTTGCAAAGAAATCTGAAAAAATTAAACTTACACATAATAATCAAAAATATTCAGCTTAATTTAATGATCATAAATAAACAAGATGCTTTGTTTCTCCTGCCAAACTCACAATATTCTCCTTTTTGTTAACTTTGTTTTATGCTTGTTTTTTTTTTAATTAAAGCCAGAAGGTAATCTGTTTCATTGCAACAATAACTTTATTTTTGTTTTATATAGTTGATTTTATGCCTTTGTTTTCTTTTTTGTTTTTGTGCTGTCTTTGTGTGCAAATTAGTTGACAATTTCTTTAGTTCTGCAATAGTTTGCCTAAAACTGCCTCAGTGCTGCCCACTTTAGGTTGAATGCTGGTTACTGCAGTTACTTTTTCTTATTTGTTACAACGGAACATCTTGGTCTACATCCAATAACAAACGTTACATTTGTGGATAGTCACTTTTTTCAAACTTCAAACTACTAAATAAGGGGGAACAAAGTTATTCAATTTTAGCCAAAACATTTTGAGATTAATCTCAGAAATTTTGTATGAAAAAAATTTGTAATTTCTTAGTTTCAATAATTGAAAATGTGTTTGAAAAAAATTCTGAAATTTTGAGTTTTAAAAGCTCAAAAGTAAAAAAATTGTGCCAAAAAACTCAGAAAGTTCGAGATTAGCCTCAGAAATCTTTTAGAAATAAAACTAGAAAATTTCCAAGTATGAAAAATTTTCTTGTAAACTTTTGAAACATAAATTTCCACGTTTATTCTAGAAAATGTTTGAGACTTGTCTCAAAATTTCAGCTTTTTCTTGCAAATTAAAATTTTTTTAAATCCAGAAAGTCCCTGATTTTTACTAGAAAATTTATGAGATAAAACTTCTGAATATTTTTAGCACATTTTTTGACTTTTCAAATTTAGAAATTTTAATTTTTCAGAAAAATTTCTCAGTTTAATTTCAAAGTTTCTTAGTTTTTTGGTGGAAATTTGCTCTTTTTTCCATGTACAATGACCCTAATAAGCCGTAGTTCCACTGTGACACATCAGCATGCTCATAGAAATGTGATGGAAACACGGCTAGTCTGAAGTCGGTAACCAGCGGTTTCCATCCTGTTTATGGCAGTTCAAAGTGTTTCTTGTGTTCTGGTTGTATTTTATCATCTGACCCGTGTTTGTTCTGGTCTGTTCCTCCAGGAACATTTCAGGGCCAGTGGGTTGGAGGGATGCGTCACGGCTATGGCGTCCGGCAGAGCGTTCCATACGGCATGGCGGCCGTCATCCGCTCTCCTTTACGCACCTCCATAAACTCTCTCCGTTCTGGTTCGGAGCACAGCAATGGAACCGCGCTGCTGGACCGAACGGGCGCCCTGGTTCCGGGCCCGCCCACAGTTCCGGGAACTCTGACCACCAGCATCTCCATGTGCAGCACGGGCAGCAGCGGCAGCAGCCCCGCGGTGTCCCGCGGAGGCTTCGTGTTGACGGCGCATAGCGAGGCAGAGCTGCTGAAGGGGAAGAGGAAAGGAGGATTGTTCCGGAGGTCCATCCTGTCCGGCCTCAAGCTCAGGAAGTCCGAGTCCAGGAGCTCTCTGGCGTCGCAGAGGTCCAAACAGAGCTCGTTTCGGAGCGAGGCTGGGATGAGCACCGTCTCCTCGGCTGCATCGGACATCAACTCCACCATCAGGTAACCTGAATCAGCAATTAAAACCATTAAATACTTGGAATTACAGATGACATTTTATTCAGAGTAAAAATGCATTTGTTAGGAATGGGTGGTAACCAGTTCCAGTGGTAAATGTTCTTTAAAATTTAAAGTTTATTAATTTTTGAGAATGTGTTCTGACATTATTTTGCCATTACAATTATATTACTTGAAAATGGTCTCAAAATAACATGATCATTTATCACAGTAACTTTTGGGACGATTTATCTCCTAGCAAAATTTGTTATTGTGACACAGACGGAGAAGTTTAGTATTGATGAAGCACCTGGTGTTGATTTGTTGTTGTGGGGGGCCAAAATGAAAACCTGCTCAGGGCCCCAGAAAGGTTTGGGCCGGCCCTGTGTGGATGAGCGTATTTGTTTTTCCAGATAAGAAATGGTTTTAAAATAAGAAGAAAAACAGTTGCGACCTTTGCCCTTTCCAGCCTCGGAGACGCAGACGCGGAGTTGGCAGTTGCGGACGACGACGTCGACGCCACGGCGACGGAGACGTACTGCGGGGAGTGGAAGAACGACAAACGGACGGGATTCGGTGTGAGTCGGCGATCCGATGGGCTGCAGTACGAGGGCGAGTGGCTGAGCAACAAGCGGCACGGCTACGGCTGCACCACGTTCCCCGACGGCACCAAGGAGGAAGGGAAGTACAAGCAGAACATCCTGGTGAGCGGCAAGCGGAAGAACCTGATCCCGCTCCGCGCCAGCAAAATCCGGGAGAAGGTGGACCGAGCCGTGGAGGGGGCCCAGAAGGCGGCGGACATCGCCCGGCAGAAGGCCGAGATCGCTCTGTCCAGGTAGGAAGTCCGACTGGTTCCGACTTTAAAGCTTTTACCGTAAAGTAAGAATGACCGGACCAAATCCTCCTGTTCAGGTCTGATGCTCTTCACTAGGGGAACATCACAAGCATCTAGAAATGCTTCTAACTTTCAGATCAAATAACTTCACTGTCTCCCAAGGGGGAATTTGCTTTGCAAATAAATACAAAACATGAAAAAATAGCAATAAAAATACACCACAACATCCACATAGCACATTGTTGAACTTCAACCTAAATTAGTTTTTTTTGCAGATAAATTGTATAAATTGATCCTTGATGATGCCATCTCTTTGTGACATGTTGTTTATATTTGTTTAATTCTCAAATATAGAGTGCAGTTCTACAATTCTTCAGCTTGGTTGATGTCTGTCACACAGCGCTGTCAATCAGCTTTGTAAATGCGCTGCTAAATGTGCTACTGGCACAGAGACATTACAGGAAAACAATTTATCTGCCATTATCTGTGGCCATGCTAACTAGCCTTAGCATACCTTAGCGACTGGTGCTTTCTCATGTTCGCAGCCAAAGTTTCTGATTATAGAGAAAAGTTGCAAGATTTGTTACTAATTACTTTTTTGAAAAAGTCACTAGAGAATCTCAAAAGTTACTAAATATTGCAACAAAATCTCTAAGTTGGCAACAGTGCTTCTCTCTCTTAATCCCCTCTGCTCATCAGCGTCACTCTGCCAAGAGGCAGAGGTAAGCTTGGCCACGCCCCTCTGTATCTTGGTCACGCCCCTCTGTCTCTTTGTCACGCCCCTCTGTCTCTTGGCCACGCCTCTCTGTTTCTTGGCCGCGCCCCTCTGTCTCTTGGCCACGCCCATGTCCCCAGAAATTTAAATGAAGAGAAAGCATGGAATCTTCTTGCAAAGTGTACTTTTTGTAGAAATTCTTGCCTTTAAGCCAAACTGAAATAAAATGACTCAAAAAGTCCAAAGCTGCTATTTCTTCAAGTACTTTGTCGTTAATAAGTCAAAGCAACGTTTTTATTGCCATCTATTTTGATTAGATTACCAAATAAATGAAAAATGTAAGCTGCCATGTGCGAGTGGTGCATTGTTAATCAGAAGAGCTGTAATGGTCTGTGAATATTTGTTATAGCCGTTTCGGTTGAGGATGCAGTGTACCCTTTTAAATCTGAGCACATGCAGAAATGATTATGTGCACAACACAATGTTCTGTAGCACAACTTTAAAAAAACACCAACACCCACAAAAGACTGAACACACTCCCAGCTTTTACTAAAACCTGCTCTTTGAGAACATGAAGGTTTCTCATGCAGCTGCAGTGACATCAGGGAAAAAGACGATTGAACCAAAACTTTCAGTATTTTCATAAAAGAACAAAAACAAGTGATTTTATGAATCAGATTATTCTTTATTATTTTAAAAAAAGCTCCTTATGGCCCAATCTTTGAAGTTTTTTCTCTTAGTGAGATATTAACAGTGAATTTCAATTGAAGATACTTTGTGAACTTTAATATTTGTATTCCGCTACACTTCTAATAACTTCATTTATCACAAATCTCTACAAATACACCATTAAGATGAAACAGAACCATATAAAACATACAGATAGGGAGATTTAATGCAGAAACATTCACAACTAGACTGCAGATGTTGCAACATTTCAATGCGAAAAGTGAAACCATCCATTTTACAGTTGAAATGATTAATCGGATTAATCGTGATAAGTCGATTAGTGAAATCATCAACTAATTTAGTAGTCGATTAATTGTTTGCTGTCCATTTACTGAAAAACACAACACAGTCAGAGCAGAAATTAAGCCAAAACTGTACAAAATAAAAATTTTGCATTTAAAATTAAAAAAACGTCTTTATCTGCAAATATATTCTTCCCAGAACTCTTCAGGTGGCAGTTTTAACTTAATCCAGTTCAAATTCTGTAAAATAAATGAAAAAATATCTCCTATTAAGTAACTTCTGCTTCAAGTTATTAATCAGTTAATCCAAAAATTAATCAACACATCGACCCTGCACTGTATTCATGCTAAGTCAGATGGTTGACATGTTTATTTTCTTATTTAAAACATTAATATAATTGTTTATTTTCATGACTTTATACATTTGTAATATTGTATTATTGTATTTTAATCAATTAATTGTCCCAATAATCCTTTTTACTTTCATTTTGTCCTCCATGTTTACCTTGAACACTCACTTATTAGCGATGCTAAGCTAACTGCAGCATCCTGATTGAGAGGAAACAGTCCTGCAGCTTCCTGGATCATGTTTCTTGCATTTCGTTTTATATTTTGAATCGGTGACAGAATAAGATCAGGCTCGGGGTTAAACTGGGTCGAAGGGTTAAGGAGGGTTGAGGCGGCAATGGAAGCGAGACGGTGCTGGAGCCTGTTCCCATTTAGCTAAACGCTGAGCACATCCGGGGTTAATGGTTCTGTCCTGACCTGCTTCACAGCGGCTAACAGCTTCAGGGTGAGATATGAGGCTCAACATTTAGGACGTAGAGGAGGAATTAATTTACTGTCCCAGAACCTAAAGATAAAGATTGACATTAATATTGAAGCCTGGTGGCATCGAAGGCATTCAGACTGTTGTTGAGGTCAGGCTATGATGCAGAAACTTTTAGTGACTTGCCTTTAAAGCGTAGCCAGGGCTTGACGATATGGATGAAAAACATATCGCAATGTAAACATTTCATATCTGTCGATATTGATAATTAGATTGGATTTTTGTTTAAATAATCTGAAATCCTGCCAAACTGGTGGCCGTGGCCTTTCCTCTTCTACAGTTTTCTCTCCGCCGTTGCTTTTTTATTTTTAAGCAGTTATGAGGCACAGTGTGGAAACTTTAAACCGCTGCTACAAGTTGCTCAACAGGTTGTTGCTAGGTAACCAGAGTGAGTGAGTTAGTTCATGCCGTAGTTGCTTATCTAAAGCTTTTCCTTTGCCTACATCCCCCAGAATGCCGTGCGATTTTGGATCAGAGTTCAGTGACTATTTTATATATTCAGGCATGTTACATACTGATATTGATCATGTGTCTATTGCAATATGTATTATTGATTTATTGTCCAGCTCTAATCGTAACCAGAGAGACTGATTAGATGTGAACAAGTTATTTTTCAACAAGTACTTTGTTCCTGTACTTAAGTACATTTTTCATGTATCTGTACTTTACTGGAGTAGATGGTTTCTTGTGTACTTTCGACTTTTATTCCACTACATTTTACATAAAGTATCTGTACTACATTTGTACTACACTGCAAAAACAAAAAAGACATTGCAAAGTATTCTTGGGCATGTTTCTAGTGGAAATATCTTATTACACTTAAAATAAGAAAAAAACTAACTTATAAGTAACGTTTTAACAAGAAATAGGAGCTTGTTTTAAGTGAATAATTCCTTAATAGTTTTGAAAAAGTACTAGTTTTCCTGGGAGATTTTTTCACTTATAAGGAGGAGAAAACAGAAGCAGAAGATTTTGAAAGTGTGACAGCAGACGGAGACGGTGAATGAAGCTTCTGTCTGAAAGTGGGTTAGCTCTGCTATTGGATTAGCATTTGACCTTGGAGCAGATCAATTGTAATAATGTGTTGCATCTCTGACCTCGTGGTCATGGAGTTGGTGTGTGAAAAGATTCAGGAGTGCAGAAAGAAGATGGAGACAGAACGAAAGTTCTCAGAGAAATTTAAACATCACAAAAAACAAGAAGTATAATAATAAAAAAATAAACTGTGAGGAATATTATTCTGCTGAACATGATTGAACTGCAAAAACACAAAATCTTACCAAGATGTTTTGGTTTAGTTTCAAGTGCAAATATGTTCATAAACTTGAAATAAGACGAAACTAACTTAATCCTTAATATTAATGGAAAAAGTAGTAGTTTCAGCAGCAGATTATTTCACTTATAACAAGTTTTTTTCATGTTTTCAGTGAAATAATCTCAATAATGGAACAAGAACGTTTTCATTTTTCAAATTATTTACTTAAAACAAGCTTATATATCTTGGTGAGAAGTTACTTCTAAGTGTGCTAAGATATTTGCACTAGAAATTAGACCAGAAGTACTTGATAAGATTTTGTGTTTTTTCAGTGTGTGAAGATGAAATGAACGAGCTCTGATCACTTTTTTTTAAAAAGATTTTTACTCAATTTAACAATAATTTATTTGTCCCAAAGGGAAATTAAATGTCATCTAATAATCTTCAAAGAGTCACTGAGGATATTGATGATGTGGGCAGAAAGAATCTCCAGTAGCAGTCAGTGTTGCAGCGAATCAGAAGAGGCCTCTGACCAATGGTTGCTAGCAAGCATGCTAATCTATCTCATTTGCTTTTGCTGCTCCTCTTTAAGTCTCTACCCGTTATGATTGATAGAAGAGATGAACTTCAACTTGTCTGGGATTTGGGGGTCGTAGTTCAGGAGTTATTTTCAGGTGGCACCAGTTGTGAAAACACCTTGTTGTCATGGTTACGCACCATGTTAGCTGTCCAAAAGTGGAAAAGTAAGAGCAGAGATTGCAGCTGCACAGCGCCCAAAACCAGAGGGAGAAAACACAAGAGTGTTACTCCAACATGCTGCCACTATGACCAGAATCTAGAAAAGAGCTAATGCAATGAAGAGAAAAGAAATTTAAAAAACAAATCAAATCAGTCACTTTCTATAGCAACTATGTTTCTGTTTTATCTTATAAAAGGTTGAATCGTTCAGCTTCGTTTCTTTCTCACAGATTTGACATTTTTCACATTCATATGCACCGCCATTAATCGTGTTAAACCTCAGTTTCTGACTGCTGAGGGAGACATTGCTCTGATATTATGAGAACAGGGTCATGAGAAAGGAAAAAAAAAAAAAGCCTTGACACATTTCTGGGGACAGACAGTGTCCTTGTTTAAAGTAGGATGTCACTTTGTTGCCAGTTTTAAGCGCATAAGCTCAAACCTAGAAAGTTTGTGAAGTTGGAGATGGAAACAGAGGACGATGAGACATTT